TGATAGACTCTAAATCCATCCAAGTTGCTGTGAAGTCCATATGTTTGTCCTTCTTTGTGGTTGCATAATATTCCATTGTGTATATGTACCACATTTCTAATTTTTTATTTATTGTAGAGACGAGGTCTTGCCAAGTTGCCCAGGCTGGTCTCGAACCCACGGATTCAGGCAATTCACTTGCCTCGCCCTCCCAAAATGCTGGGATTACAGGCTGAGTCACCAAACCCAGCCAAGAAATCTTTGAACCCACCTGTGACCTACAAGCCCCACTTGGAAATGTCCCTCCTCCCCTGGCCTAACCAATGAGAACCTCACATATATTGATGGATGGTTTTTGTAACTTCTGTATTCCTAAAATGCATATAACCACGGCCACGGTGGACACACATTCTCAGGACATCCTGAGGCTGGGTGTAACTGGCCTTAAGTCCTCAAAAATGGCTCAAGAATAAAACATGCTAAAATATTTTAGAGTCTGGTATCTTTTTGTCAACATGACAAATCTACAAGCCAAGGAACACCAAGAATTGCCAATGAGCATCAGAAGCTAAGAGGAAACAAAGAGTCCTCTCTAGAGCCTTCTGAGGGAGTGCGGCCCTGCCCACGTCTTGATTTCAGACTTCTGGCCTCCAGAACTGCGAGGGAAGACATTTCTGTTGTTTCAAGTCACTGGGTGGAGGCATCTCCGCTGTGGTAGCCCTGGGGAGTAAACACAGTCTCAGAGCATGGACTTCTGGTGTTCAGAGAAAGCCTCTGTGCTATGTGAGCTTCCTACATCTCTTTATGGCTGCCTGAAAACCTGCCATTGTCATACATCTTCCCTTTAGCTGAAGGGACAGATCCAGGCTTATTTCAGGTATCCCTGAATAGTCACACTCCTAACCCCGCGCCCTACCCATGTGTATTCAGTGCAAATGCATCTGTGTACTATACGACAATTCTCAGAACTAGAAATGACTCCTTCTTTCCCCCAAATGGGCTTCTTGATGGCAGGAACCATGGGGTCCTCTTGGGGTGCCACCCCCAGTTCAGGACCTGGGGTTTGGTTGAAGTGGCTGCCACATGCAGTTTCTGGTAAGTCAAGGCTGCTGCGTGTATGCAGCCAGGGGTAGCAGCCACCTCAGGGTCTGAGTCTGGATTCATGCTGATAACCCCTTCAGCTCCACCATGGCCTTTTAAAGTCAGCGAGGAGGTTTTTGGGGGGCCCAGAAGCCCTGAGCCCATTGGCCAGAACTCCTGGGAGAACCAGGGCAGATTTGCATCAGAAAGAACACTGGCTTCATTGAAATTCTCCTCATTTTGAGTGAAACAAAACCACAAAGAAAAGGAAAGTTTTAATCCTGAACAACTTCAGCACTGAGGAGCGCTTTTTGAGCTTCTAAAAATAGAGAGGAAATGGGCCTCTTTGGGTCACTCTGGTCTCCGCCTCCCCCTGCCCCATGCCCGCCCCCACCGCCCACTCAAGGCCAGCCTCTCACAGTGGGTGACTGGGCTTTCTTCAGCAGATGACCAAGGCAGATGCCACGCAGCTCTGGAGCTGGATACGGCTGCCCCTCCAGGGATCCCAGCATGCCGGACAGCAGAGAGGGCCTGGCCGAGAGCCGGCACGACAAGGTGGAGACCACCCAGGAAAGCTTGAAAACCAGGTAGGTTCGTGGTTGGATCTCTGCACGCTGAGCCTGTGGACCAAGTTCTAGACTTGACTCTACTGTGTGAAACTGGGCAAGTGTCTTCTCTCTCTGAGTCTCAGTGTCTTCACCTGGGAAATCAAGGGAAGGGTCTAGATGGTCTCTAAGATGGAATAAGAGCTAGTCTGCCATTGGAAGTGATTCTGAGAGTGCCTGCTCCCCTGCATGGCCAGGAGAAGCTCACTGACGAATGGGTGAGCGTGAGTTGGGGGCAGCAGTTGGATGGAGGAAAATTTTTTCAATCAACAAGAATATTTCCCTGTCTCCTCAGGGAGCTCTTTGACATTGGGGTGGCTAATGACAGACAAGTTCGAGGGAGAGCCAATGGTTCTGACTCCAGCTTACTGTGTGACCCTGGCAAGTCCCTGGCCCTCTCTGGGCTGTAGCTTCCCTGTATGAACAGGAGTGCAGTGGCTCAGTTGCCCAAAGTCCTTCTGCTGTGGATAGTCCACTGATCTGTAAACCAGAGGAAGTAGATTCAACTTGCCAGTCATTTGCCAGTGCCCACCCTGGCCCTAGCCATGTCCATCCAAGGAGTGTGTAATCCCGAGAAGATGGGACCCGGGGCTCCAGGGCTGCCCAGTCAGAAGGCAGGTAGAAGGCTGACACATACGCCACTCCAGGACCCAGACATCTGTGGCCTATACCCAGGAGGGGCACAGGCCAAGGGGGAAGAGAGAGAGAGACTTCCAACAGGGGGCGCTTGAGATGGGCCTGGGTGATCAGGAGGGCCTTGATGGTCACAGTGGAGACAAGAGCAGGAGGGAACGGCCTAGCAATGTGAAGCCGGAAGCTCAGAGGTGGGAGAGGTCTGGGTGGCTGCAGCGGAGAACAGATGGGGGCAGTGGGGACGGGGCTAAGTGCCAAGGGCTGAGCTCTCTGCAGTCACGGGGAGAAGCTGCCTGTGTTCTAGCTACAGAGACTGCGCCAGTTGTTCTAAAGTCAGAAATACAAGGGGGGGCCCCCAAAAGCCTGGAATTATCTGTTTTTGGAGGGCAGGCGCCTTACAATACAGGCTTCCCCCTCTAGGTAAGTGTTCTAGGAACACACTGGCATCAGTGTACCAGCTAGCACTGTTTCAGTGCATTTGCCCATTTCGTGATGGGTGATGTATGAGCACACCTGCCCACACCACACTGAGTGTTTAGCAGTTTTTAACCCAAAATGGCTTGACCCCCGTGCCCCATACTCCCTATTCACTTGATCTCACCCTGAGCGACTTTTTTTTGGTTTGTTTTCCCTGGATGAAAAATGTCCTCAAAGGGAAAAGTTTTGCTGAGGTAAAAGAGGCGAAACAAAAACCAGCAGAATCACTAAAAGGTATCAAAATTGACGAGTTCAAAACCTGTTTTGAGCAGCGGAAAAGGCGTCTTGATAGGCGTATTGCATCCAATGGAGAGTACTTTGAAGGTGACTGAAGCTTAAATATGTAAGAATAAATATACAATTTTTAATAAGGAAATTCAGGTTTTTGGGGTCCCTCTGATATAGCTGTTGCTGCTGCCCCTGCGATGGGCCTTCTTTGCTTCTCTGACCCTTCGGGCCAACTCCAGTGGGAAATGGCTCTATCTTCAGCCTGCCCATCTGCCCTGACCTTGTGGCATGGGCAGCTGCTCCTGGGAAAAGGCGGGCCTGTCCCATAGGCTGAGGAAGCCTTGTCTCCCCACTCCCCTTCCCAGTGTTGCAGAGGGGAGGCTGGAAGTGGAGGAAGGAGGAGGCTGAGAGCCAGAGGAGGGCTTGCACGCTGGCCTGACCCCTATGAATTTTCTTTCCTGCCACACCAGTTGCAGAACTGCAGCCTCATGGTTTGGGCAGGCGTCTAGAGGGAGCAGTCAGGCCGGGGCCAGAAGAGGCAGAAACTGCCATGCCTGAGGTTGGACCATTCTGGCACTGCCCTGATGGCTTGTGTTCTGTGGCCTTTGAGGCTGTGGCTGCAGACCATGCCATTCAACAGAAGTATCCATTGAAAATGTCCTGGGTCCTGGCCCCCGGGAATCCCTCTGCCCAGGAGAGACACCTGTCTCCTGGGGACTTAAGAAACCTGTTTATGGAGGAGAAGCTTGGAAGGAACCTTATAAAGAGACAGTTCATGGTGTGTTTAAACAGTTGTGTATGCCCTGGACGACTGGCAGGGGAGCACTGTGCTAACCACAGGTGTGGCTGTGGATGCTCCAGATGGCCGGCAGAGGGCACTGTGCTGACCACAGGTGTGGAGGAGTCACAGGTGGCCATGAGATCCGTCAGGTGGAGGCCAGGCTATCTCTGGGATCTGGAGAGGCTGATGTGGCACGGCTAGGGCTGACCAGGGCCGGAGGAGGAGGCAGAGGGGAGCCCTGGGAAGGGTGGGAGTTGCAGAAGCCTGGGAGAGCCTGGTTTGGGGGAGGTGCATCTGGAGCGGTGAGTGCAGGCTGGACTAGGCGTGGGCTGGAGGCAGGAGGCTGTGAGAGGGAGCCCCAGGGTCCTGACTGGCCCAGGGAAGGATGGCCGGCTCTGAACTGACGGCACTTACACTGAGTCCCAGCCGATTTTTTGATTCATTGTAGAAACGAGGTCTTGCCAGGTTTCCCAGGCTGGTCTTGAGCCCCTGGGCTCAGGCAATCCTCTCACCTCCACCTCCCAAAGTGCTGGGATTACAGGCGTGTGCCACCACACCCAACTCAAAATTATTTACTGTTTATTTTTTATTAATAATTATTTATTCAGGCACTGTGCTAAGCACTGGAGAACATCACAGAATATAAACAAATATCTGCCTTAAGAAGTTTACATGTGTGCAGGGAAGACAGACATTAACAAATAATTATGGCTGGACATGGTGGCTCACAACTGTAATCCCAACACTTTGGAAAGCTGAAGTGAGAGGATTGATTGACCCCAAGAGTTTGAGACCAGCCTGGGCAACATCTCTACAAAAAAATTAAAAAATTAACCAGATGTGGTGGCGTGCACCTATATTCCCAGCTATTAGAGAGGATGAGGTGGAAGGATCACCTGAGCCCAAGAGGTAGAGACTATGGTGAGCCATGACTGTACCTCTGCACTCCAGCCTAGGTGACAGAGTGAGACTCCAACTCAAGCAAAACAAAACAAATAATTATACAACCACTTGTTAAACTGTAATTGTAACAGGTGCCATGAAGGAACAAAAACAATATGAGGGAATGTACCAATGCCACTCAATTATACACTTAAACAGACTTAAAATGTCAAATTTTATGTTATAACATTTTTACTACAATAAAACGTTTTTGTTGTTGTTTGAATCAGAGTCTCAGGCTGGAGCATAGTGGCACGCTCACAGCCACTGCAGCCTCGACTTACTGGGCTCAGGCGATCCTTCTGCCTCAGCCTTCCAAGTAGCTGGAACTACAGACGCACGCCTCCACACTGAGCTAGGTTTTGTGATTTTTTTTTAAATTGTAGAGATGAGGTCTCATCAAGTTGCCCAGGCTGGTCTCAAACCCTTGGGCTCAGGCAATCCTCTCACCTCAGCCTCCCAAAGTGCTGAGAGCCACCGTGCCTGACTAAAAAATGTTTTATAAATGTTGGTCTTTTTTTTTTAACTATGGAGAAAATATAACAGAGATCTGACTCAGTCTTGGGATCAGGGCACACTTCCCTGAGAAAGCAACATTCAGACTGAGACCTGGAACATGAGTTGGAAGTGCTTAGGGGAAGAGCTTTCTAGGAAATGGACAGAGCATGTACAAAAAGACCTTGGGGTAGGAAGGAGCTTACAATGTTCGAAAAACTAAACATCTAGTGGGAAGGGGCCAGATTTGGGACTACGGTAAGCCCCCTACAGATGAGTTTTGTTCTGAGAGCACATTTTTAAGTACAGTTTGTTTGTAAGTCCAACAAAGTTAGTCTAGGTACCTAACTAGGTATCCTGGGCTTGAAATAAAGATACAGTCCACAAAAGATAAAGTACACAAAAGCGCAACCACTTATAGAGGACACACGCACTTGACAATGCATACCATGAACTAACTTACGTGACTGGGCATGCCAACGCATGTTCGTGCCTTTGAAAGTTCACAACTTGAAGGTTCATATATGTAGGAGACTTGCTTACATTCTAAGAGTCACAGGAAGTCAAGAGTCCTAAAGCAAAGGGTTGGGCATATCCGTGAGACATGTGAGTCCCTAAGGAAAACTAGCCCTGGTCCCAGATGTCTGAATGCAGATCCGAATACCTTCAGGATGTAGGTCAGCCCAGACCAGCGCAGAATCTTTGGAGCTGCAGCATTGCGAGCTGGGGGTGGCAGAACTCAAGCTGGCCTTGAGTCAGGACTCCCGGCTCAAAGCTAACTCACTCTGTCCCCAGGCGAGCCTCTGAATGACAGGTTCCCAGGCCAGCAGGGTTTTTTAGGTCACTAAGTCCAACCCACGCTGTTACAACACTCACATAGTATCAGTCTACTCTGACTTGAATACCTTCAGGGAAGGGCAACTTGCTATCTGCCTCTTCATCCCTGCAAAAGGCACAGTTTCAGCTAGGGACAGTGGTGATGGAAGAACATCTTATCTCACACTGGGTCCTATGAGAGACCCCTGTGTCCCATCTCTGGCCCCCTGCCCAGACAACCCTGGCTCCTTGCAAGAGGGCCTGTAAGGAACACATGGGAACAGGGCTGGGAAGGTGCTTTGGGAACTGTTGAGGTTGTGACCATGTGAAGGACCTCTAGGGTCTAGCTCAGATCCTGGCCCTGAGAAGCTGCCATATAAGAATTTACATTTCAGTTGGACATGATGACTTGTACCCAGCTACTCGGGAGGCTGAGCTGGGAGGATCGCTTGAGCCCAGGAATTTGTGTTCAACCTGGGCAGCACAGCAAGACTCCCATCCTTAATAGTAAATAAATACATAATTTTAAAAAAAGAATTTATATTTGCAGAATTTGTATCTGCAGAATTGAATAGATTATTGGGTTTTTATTAATGGAGACAAAAATTTT